AAATATATTTGAGTTGGATTTAATTTATTATTTTATAAAATTTGTTTGAGAAATTAAAGCAGGATTTTGGAGTTGGGCTGATAATTACAGCTGCTTGCTGGTCCAGTAGATGGCGATGACTTGTGGAGTTGTGGTGGTGGATCTTGTGGACTGTGGTCGGTTTGCGACGGACGGGATAATCTCAAAGGAACCACAAATTTTCAATGGACACCAACATTTTCTCGGGAAAATCCTCGACCTAGAATTTTCTTTCAGTTATCCTCTGGTTGGTTCTCTTTCTACTTTGGCAGTGGACGGATTCCCTCGACTCTCTTCCTCACTCCGTGGATTCTGTGTGTAATTCTTCATCCTTCTTTATCCTTTTTCATTTACTTTTTGGCCATTAGGAATTTAATCTGTTTGGCTCTCGAGAATCTTTATCCTTTTTCATTTACCTTTTGTAATTTAATCTGTTTGGCTATCGAGAAAAGAGCGCAAGTTGAAGGCAAGTTTCCTTGTTAATTTTCCCCTATTTTGTCGCCCCAAACTGGACTGGAATTTGAATTTAACACATTTTACTTCAAAGCCTACTACCATTTTCCTGATTTCTCGAATTTTATTCTTGAATATGTTACCGTTCTTATGGATTCTTCGTCTGCATCGCGATAATTTGCTTTTAAGGTGTTGCGCTGTTTTCTCTTGTGATTTCTGTTCGGTTTTTTAACCTAGTGGTGACTGCAATAATATTGAAGGGGTTGACGATTTGACGTTGATAGTTGATGTTCTTATGATTGGCAGGTTTGTTATGGTGCGTATTTTATGTGATTTGGCCAAGAGTTCTTGAGATTTTGACAATGAACTTGGAATTTTTTCATAAATTTCCATGGTTCTGGGCCCAAAAAAGCAATGATTTGGGTCCAATCCTTAAATCTTCCGACGCCATTGGGGAGCCAGGCCATCAAAATACTCGTTTTGATTTCAGGATCTGGGGATTTTCCCTTCTTTCGTTTCTTCCTTGGGAAGATAATGCCAATTCCCGAGATATCATTCTAGCAAAAACAACTATTAATAGGAACTTGAAAAGGCAAGTGAAACGTGGTAGACGAACTGAGAACCGTGATGGAGAAGCTCCTTTACGGTTCAAGCCATATGTGTGTAAAGTTCCATGGCATACTGGTGTAAGAGCGTTTTTTTCTCAGCTGTTTCCGCGTTATGGACATTACTGTGGTCCAAATTGGTCTAGTGGGAAAGACAATGGGTCTCTCGTTTGGGATAAACGACCAATTGATTGGCTGGATTTCTGCTGTTATTGCCATGATATTGGCTATGACACTCATAGTCAAGGAGAGTTGTTGAAGGCTGATATGGCGTTTCTCGAGTGCTTAGAAAGGCCTAATATGGCTACGAAGGGAGATGCTCATATTGCTACTCTTTATCGAACCATGTGTGTCTCAGGTACGCCCGAGCTTCACTTATTTGGGTTGTCTTTTGTAAGTGTCTTGATTCTTGTATGCCACATTTCCACACACCACGCGATTTTGAAATGGTTAAGTTTTGTCATGTTCAAAATCATTCCCAAACATGTCGTTAATCATTCAAAATCAAATTTAATCATATGAACACTGTTTGAAGGAGTAAAGCCAAACATTAAAACGATTATATGAAATTCACTTATAAATAAATCATTTTCACTACCATCACTCCAAACATGTTCTGTGTAAATGTGACAGGTCTGAAGAATTTTCTAATTCCTTATAGAAGGCATCTGATTCAGCTTCAATCTCTCCCTCACCAACCTGCAATTCAGTTTGGATGGCTTAGCAATTTGAAATGGTTTAGTTGGAACTCGCAAAGAGCTGAACAAAAGCATCCCAAAATGTGATAGATACTCAGTAGTTACTTTATGAGTAATTTCTCTTCATCACTCTGTTTTACCTCAGCATCTCTCATGTACATATATATATATACACAAAATCCCATTGGCTTATTGTGTAGCACATTAGTGTACATTGGTGAGTTTCGAGTTTCTGGTAACTGCTAGTGTAGATGCTGTAGGGTTGACATTTATGCTACCATAGGAATCCTTATGTATGGACCAATGGGAAAGGCTTCTGCTACTAAATCCTTGCTAGCTAAGTAAGGATTTCCTAATGAAATGAGAAACGGAGAATCATGGCATTGTTCTATTTGAATATTATCGCACCGTGCTACTCCACAATTGTGCCTTTAGCTGTCTGAGCATGTAAATATTTGCCTCTGTGAACACTTTTTACAGGGTTCTTGTTGCTTTGTTACATATTTAAGCTTGGTAATTACTCTATTTGTTTCATGTGAATTTTCCTATCCTCATTTCTGTGTTCTTTCTGGCTGGCAGTACATATGAGTTGTTATGGTAGAGATGAATTTGTTTGAAGGTTTTTGATGAAGGGAGAGATATCTAATAGTTAAAATCATTGCAGCAAATGTTTGGATATGTGTTTATCTTTTTTGAAAGGATCAGCTGTTTGAATTTGTTCTTGGTGGTTATTTGGATGTGTGTTGATCATCAGAGTCCTCTTAATTTATGGATACACAAGAAAATTAACATGAGGATGAGTGTTTTATTCTTTGATTATGAAGGGTGAGCTATATTAAAACGCTATCCTTCGGGTCGTTTGAATTGAAGGTACGAGGACGGAAGTAAGGGTGAGGATCGACAAGCGATTATGTATTCCTTGTTTGGTACAAGGTTTGGAGGATCGACTATGAGAATGAGTTATTTTCGTAGTTTTTGCATACACATGAGTTAGAATATTTGGTACTCGGGCAAAACTATGGATATTATGTGTGCCCTCCCCTTTTTCTCTATCTTTCAATAAATTATAATGACATGATACAAAATTGATAAGATTAAAATATATATTAAAGAGACATTTTAGTGGAAATTTGTGAGTTCTTGTAATCTTGTTCGTTAATTTATGAAGTTTAGAAACAGGTTCTGGATTCTAATCCATAGTTCTTCAAACATATTTTGAGAAGATAGAAACGGAGTTTTAGAGATTTACTACACTTTTGAGAGCCCTGGGAGGAGATAATGAAAGATTTTTTTAGCAAAAAACCATTGAGATATGACAAGCGCCACTCCCTGATCTTACCATATGTTAGCTCTCCTAGTCACCAAAAGACAATTAAAATATAGACTACTTAGAGTTACCAGTGAAATACTCGAACACAACACTTAGGAGTGTTCAAATCAAAAAGTCTAGTGACTAAAAAAGTCCAATATAAACTCTTTCGGCTAGTGACTAAAAAAGTCCAATATAAACTCATCCGGTACGGTTTGAGCTCATTTGAGTTTGGTAAGTTGATTTGAGTTATATTAGACTTTTTTTTTTTTTTTTTTTTTTTTTCCC